GATTATGTTATACACCTTAAACCTAGTGTGACCAATTGAGAAGCACCCCTTAGCAGCCTCAGTCTGTCGGACCACACAGACAGAGAAAGGATAATACAATGCACCCCTAAGTGTCTAAGACACCTTGGTTAAGCTCTCAACAATGGGATCTACCTTCTGCCATAATGGGAGCCAATTTTATAAGTCATAACGGGTAGATATTCAAGCTGGAGAAGAAAATAAAACTTGGAGAGACCAATAGGGATGCACCCCATGAGCAGCCCCAGTCTGGGGAACCATGTGGACAGAGAAGGGATATTTCAAATGCACCAATAAGGGTGTAAGACACCTTGGGCGAGCTCTCAACAATGGGCACAAGTAGTTCAGCCCTTTTCAAAGTTCTGTAGATTGTAGTCCCTGTTTGGGGAAAACTGCTTCAAACGTCGAGTGACCTCAGTGACAGAAAGAGATTATAAACAAGGACATGCTATTGGATTTCCTCTTAAATGTTCTAGTGCAGGATCCTGAGTGTACCATTTCGGAAAAGGGTGATGGAGCATCAGAAACCATCAACAAGTGAAAAATCAGTTTTTGGATGCAGATGTTCTACCAAAGACTCTCATATCGCTCCCTTTACAGCCAGGGATAGAATGATGGTTTGCAACAGCAAAGTCACTCTTGAATAAGTTGAAGCCTAAATGTAAAAAGAAAGTTTGAGTAGTGCAGGAGAAGACTAATGCAAATTTACAGGCATATCCCAGATAGCAAGGATAACTTGCCCCAAACTTGTGTCAGGGTTAAATTGTAATTCTTGTTACCTTGCTGCACACATTCCTGGCAGGTTGTAGACTTGCAGAACACTCGCAGCACAAGTTCTAGGCGACACTTTTTCAATTTGTAGCAAATTTGCTTGGCAAGTCTACAGCAAGAGTCCTGCAGGTCTTAGCAAGAGCTCTGCAAGCGTACAGCACTTTTGCAAAGCACGTTTATCTGGAGACTTGCAATGCAGACTTGCTGTAATTGTGCAACAAAATTGGAAAGCTTGTCAAGTCTGCAATAGTTTAACAAGTCCTTTTCAAACTTGCAGCTCAATTGCTTGCTATATGGGGAGAGAACATTAAAGAAGAACAGACCTGTTTATCCAAGGTCACACCTTAATCTATTAAAGTCTTATGTCTCTGTAGCTGAGACTGATGAGGAGAAGAAGCGTACATATGATTACCTTGGCACTCAAGTTTCCTCAGATGACTGGAATGGGGGAATGGACCTTTGAGCATACTTTGACAGTTGTCAGACCATGTGTAGCCTGCCTAAGCAGTGTGTTATGACATCTGCAGTTTATATTGAAGTAACTTACAGTGAGTTTTGGGGTTCTTTACAAAGGAAGCAATATATATACCGGTAAGTATTAGGAAAATGTCTGCAATGCTTGGAGAAGACCTGCTTCACCTCTTGGTTCCTCAAGCTATATATAAGAGGGATAAGCATTGGAGTCACTGCTGTATAGAAAACAGAAGCCATCTTGTCTTGTACTTGAAAGGCCCCTGAGTTAGGACGTAGATAGACAAAGAAAGCAGCTGTAAAAAAAGTCAACACACAAATGATATGTGAGGAGCACGTACTGAAGGCCTTCTGCCTGCCTGAGGTAGATGTCATTCTAAAAATGGAATGAAATATGAAAAAGTATGACAGGGAGATTGTTATTAATGTATATATTCCACAGCTCGCTACAAGGATGCCAGTAACCATGTTACAATGGAGAGTGCTTGAGCAGGACAGCTTGAGCAGCGGTGGGATGTCACAGTAGAAATGGTCAATGAGGTTCGAGCCACGGAATGGAAGACTGAACACACAACTGGCATGCACAAAGGACTGCAAGAAACTTAAGAAGTAACAAGAAAAGATCAAACCAAAACCATGACCATGTCACATTATTCCAATCTGAAAATTCGGGCCTTCCTTTTAGTTGTACCGGCTCCTCTCCTGGACTGAGATGGCTTCCTCTGATGTCACTGCACACTGGGGGTGTCTCACAATGTGCATTAGAAGCTGCAGCAAGTCAGAGAGAGCTCTGCCTCATTTCCTGGCTGGAGGACATCCAGCATCAGCTAGCGCTTTCCTCCCCACCATGAGTGTCCCCGGCCCCATCGTCTTGTGATGATATCTTGCAGCACAAAGCAGATCAGCCGCAACAATCCTCCATATAGAAATGTGTTGCTTCATGTCACCAGACAGACTCTTTTCTCAAGCGTGGAGCAATCATACAAAGACTGAGTATCATGGTAAGTCCTCCGTGTGGATGACTTTTGCTTTATTGTGACTAATACAGGAAACAGTTTTTAAACAGATCAGATAGAACATGACCATGACCATGAGGAACAGACGTAGTCACCCTCCGGAAGGAAGGACAGTGTCAGAGATGATTGGAGGATCTACAGCCGAGTGATACACAAATAAGATACATTGTTGTTCATAGGCTCAATAGATCGGGAAGTGAGCGAACACATACCGTCACTCACTCACTTCTCGATCATCTCCACTGGAACTAACTGACTAGTGAAGCCAGATCTCATAATATGAACACATGTATTGAACAAGTGCCACAGAAATGCCTGAAGCCATTGAATCAGCATGACAGCCGGGTCACTACACCCCAGTGGTATTTTTTGTTTTGCTTCCAGGGTGGTTTGATTGCTGCTGAACAATTCTTTCATATCGTTTCCAGGGGCAGACTTAAATAGAAAAGAATAGTATTTAATAATAATAAAAGACAGCTGTGCTTTAAAGGGAATATTGTCTTCTTACCTCCTGAAAATATAATTGTCCCATCTTCATAAATCGCTTTTATAACAAAGTCAGAGATCCCGGAGAGTCATTCCGGGCACCCCAGAGAGGAAATGATTATTGTTTTTAATAGCAGATTCAAACCAGCCGAGGCAATTGTTAATTGTTACACCAGAATTACTGATACCGTGTTTCCCCGAAAATAAGACAGTGTCTTATTTTTTAGGTATCATCAGGCCTGGTTCACACCTGTACGTTTTGTAGCGCGTTCAACGCTCTACGAACGCTCTACAAAACGCTCAAACATGAAAATCCCATTGTTTTCTATGGGTATGGTTCACACCTTGCTGTAGTTCAGCCCGTCTGAACGCGCTACAAAACGGCCTACGCCTGAAAAGGTACATGAGCTTCTTTGCGGCGTTTTTGTCACGCGTTTCTATTGGGATACAGCCAAGTAGCCCTCGGAAACGCACCTTTGTCGCACGTTTTTTCACCGCGAATTGCGGTAAAAACGCGCGTCACAAAATGCGCGTCAAACGCGCATATTCGATGCGCCTAGGTGTGAACCCAGCCTTACTATGATTCCTATAAAGAATTATCCACATTGTTCTGCACCAGAGGAGCTTACACTCCAGGGACGTGCGGTCAGGGGAGGCAGGTGGGGCAGAGCCTCACCTAGTATTATGGAGGAAAAAGCTGTCAGCTTCAAGTCTGCAGCTGCCAGCTTTTTCTCCATTCAGATTGGCATCTAACAGGTTACAGAGCAGGGAAATCCTCCTCGCTGTGTAACCTGCCATGGACGGAGCGCTGGGTGTTAATTACAGGCAGTGCTGCATCCGGCTTTTGACATGTAGTTAGGTTACACAGCAGCGGGCTTCCCCACCGCTTGTGTAACCTAACTATTGAGGCAAGAGCTGTCACAGCCTCTACTCTTTGTTAGAGGCGTGAGTTCTGTGGATGGTTTGGACCAATGGAAAAGCGCCATTGGTCCAAGCTGTCCAATCAAAAAAAGAAAAAGAAACCCACTGAGGCCATCAATCTCGATGCCTCAGTAGTGAAGAGCAAGTGACGGGCAGGGAGGCTCCTCCCTGTCTCCTCCCTTCCTCCTTCCCACTAGCGTGGGGACCGGGTTGAGGGTGGGGCTTTACCAGGCAGGGCGGGGCTTCGGTGAGTGGCGGCAGGGCTTCAGCCGGCGTGGGCGGGGCTGGGGAATGCTTCACCTGGAATCAGAGGTACCACACGTCACTGTTACACTCTAATGTCCCCCCCACAGTCATACATTTATATAGCTCAAACATGTACCACCGTGCAGTACAGAGAACGCGGAGCCAGTCACATCAGTCTCTGTACCAGAGGAGCTTACACTTTAATGTCCCCCCACGGCTTACACTCTAATGTCCCCCCACAGTCACATCAGTCTCTGTACAGAGGAGCTTACACTCTAATGCCCCCCACAGTCACACACTATTATTATTATACATGTATATAGCTCTGACATATACCGCAGTGCTGTACAGAGAACACTGTATCCTACATCCTCACCACATTTACACACTATTATTATCACTTTGCCGGTGCATATAAGTGGCATGTTCTTGTGGTGGTAGCACACTGAATCGCATGCTGCCACCGACAGCTCCTGGCCTCAGACTAACGATTGGGAGCCATAAGGACGGGTGATCACTGTGATAGCCTGTGATAGCCAATCACAGTGATCACTAGTTTTAGGACCCCTCCCCTGTATCCTTTTCTCTCTTTTTTGGACCAGACTTCCTTTCATAAGTAAAAAAGAACTCAAGACATACAGTATCCATGAATTACCACCACATAAAGGCACAATTTTCCCTGAACAAATCAAGGTATAATTTATTTGGATACGTTAAGTAGACATGTCCAGTTATATTTTCATATTATAGTTTACATTTGTGATGTAGTATCCTAATGTAAAAGTGGAGCCAACAGTGAAGGTATTGTTCAAAAACATTGACCAAGATTCCAGGGCCCTCTGTAGGATTGCTATAGTTATGTAGTTATCCTCATATCCTCATGTATCACTGGCCCCTCCCTTTTAGATAGTAAGCCCTCAGGGGCAGGGCCCTCCTTACCATCTTGTCTTGAATTGTATTGTGATTGTAATGTCTTCCTTATATTGTAAAGCATTGCACAAACTGTTGGCGCTATATAAATCCTGTATAATAATAATAACAATAATAATAGTTGTTGGCTTTAAATCTACATCAAATGTTTTTTCGCATTGCTTGGACAAGGAGCCGCTTCACCTCTTGGTTCCTCAGGCTGTAGATAAGAGGATTCAGCATCGGGGTCACTGCTGTATAGAAAAGAGAAGCCACCTTGTCTTGTATCTCAAAGGCTCCAGAATGAGGGCGCAGATATGTGAAGAAGACTGCCGTAATGAAGGTCGAGACACAAATAATATGTGAGGAGCATGTGCTGAAGGCCTTCTGCCTCCCCTTATTAGATGTCATCCTAAAAATTGAGAGAAATATGAAACTGTAGGAGAGGAAGATTGTCGTCAATGTATATATTCCACAAGCTGCTACAAGAGCGCCTGTTACCATATCACAATGGAAATTATTAGCACAGGACAGTTTGAGCAATGGCGCGATGTCACAGTAGAAATGATCAATAAGGTTCGGTCCACAGAATGGAAGACTGAACGTACAACTGATCTGCACAATGGACTGCAAGAAACTAATGGAGTAGGAATAAAGAACCAAACCAAAACATTTCTTCTTGGTCATTATCAAGGTGTAGTGGAGAGGGTGGCAGATGGCCACATAGCGGTCATAGGACATGGTGGAGAGAAGGAGAGTCTCGGTGCTCGCCAGTGCACTAAAGAAGTAATATTGGACGGCACAACCAAGAAATGAAATTGACTTCTTAAGAGAAAGCAAATGATACAATGTATTTGGTATGATAACCGAGGAGTAGAAGATATCCACAAAAGAGAGGCAACTCAGGAAGTAGTACATTGGAGTTTGTAGGTTGGAGAAGACACAGACAAGGGCTATCATCCCAACATTTCCTACTATGGTCACCATATAAACCAGAGAAATGAACATGAAGAGGAACGGGACAAGATTTTCATCATCAGTTAGTCCAGAAAACTCAAACATGGTCACTCGTGTCTCATTCTTGATATCCATTGACTTCTCGTTTTGTAATGTTGAAATTAAACATCACATGTATTAATATATAACAAACACTGACAATAAAGCTCAACAAAAAGACTTTGCATGTGCTACAGTAATAGAACCACTTATATCAAAAATGTCATTTGTATTAATCATAATATTAAAATTGGAACAAAAATATGTAACATTGATAGCGGTCAAATCCAAAGACAATAACCTGTATGGTGCCATGTAAAACTGCTCACATGGCATCGCAATCCCTTGTGAATGTAGATACATACACATCCAACATTTAGATGACTAAAGCCTAGTGTTCTCTCTCCATCGAAAAGTCCATCATGGTTGGTACAAAACCCTTTCCTTATAATGGATCACATCTGATGAATGGAGATCAAGGACATCTAATGGCTTCAACACATTTCGCAGACTATAACACCTGATTCCTCGGGAAGTGTGTAATAGATGTTTCTGAGGATATTATTTACAGCAATTAGGATAACAGTAAACTCTTAACAAACAAATAAAACAGTACAAAAACTATAATACTATACTGTTAATACTATAATACTACTGTTAATACTATTCATTAGGCATGCACGATACTTTTCGAGTACCAGTGCCGATACTTGGCATTTTCATGAGAACTACCAGGGTTGCAGCGGTTGCAGCTGGGACTGGGCTCTGGCGCTTCACCACTGTCCTGAAATCATTAGTCTGTATTGTTTTACTTTTTGTTTTTATTGTCACATGACAATAAACGAAAATGTATCAGTACTCGTACTTGAAGGTAATTGGGCAAGTACCAGTACTTGTACTTGCAAAACTGGTATCAGTGCATCCCTTATATATATATGTATAAAAACAAAATCATACATTAAAACAGAGATGTACAAATCCCGGGAGCTCCGTGTGCTCCTTACAAATGACAGCTGCCTCCTAACTTCTGAATTTTTCTCTAGTGTAGTCTTGGAGCTCGAAAAGTATCAATACATCTACTTGTACTTGTGCTGAGTACTGTACTTGGTATCGGTGCATCCCTACTATCAGAGGCGGCTCTAGAGTTTGCGAGGCCTTAGGCAAAACCTAAACATGAGGCCCCACTCAGGCCTGTGGGGTCTTACCAGGGCTCTGTGGGGTTTAACCAGGCTGGTGAGACCCTGCAGAGCCCTGGTGAGACCCCACAGAGCCCTGAATAAATTAGGGCTCTGTAGGGTTTTACCAGGGCTCTGTGCGGTTTCACCAGTCTGGTTAGACCCCTCAGTGCCCTGGTGAGATATACATACTTACATACGTGAATGTTCTCATTCATCCAGGTCATGGTACATCTGTCAAAAATAAATCAAAGCAACTAGACTTGCAGTATTTTTTCTTGAAGATGTTTCGCTAGTCATCCATCTAGCATTCTCAATTCAGAATTACTTGTATAATAATTCTCTGGGTCAGAGACCTCATGGAGGTAAGGTATTGATTGCATTTGCATGATTGGAGCTAGCAAGTGTTATTAAGCCACCTGCTGTTTTAACACCTCCCCGTGGGTGTCTCAATAACACCTGCTAGCTTCAATCATGCAAATGCAATCAATACCTTACCTCCATGAGGTCTCTGACCCCATGCTGGTTAACCGTTTATGTTGATTGGAGCAACATTAACCATATTTATGCCCACAGCCCAAGTCATTCTGAATTGAGAAAACTAGTCGTGTGACCAGCAAAACATCTTCAAGAAAAAATACTGCTGACTAGTCGCTTTGCTT